CACTCTCCATACTACCCACGCTCTCCATACCCTACCCACACTCTCCATACACTACACACACACTCCATACACTACCCGCACTCTCCATACACTACCCGCATCTCCATACACTACCCACACTCTCCATACACTTTTCCTCACTCTCCATCCACTACCAACACTCTCCATACCCTACCCACAATCTCCATACATACCCCACTCCCCATCCACTACCCAAACTCTCCATACTCTACCAGCACTCTCCATACCTACCCACATTCTCCATACCTACCCACACTTCCATACACTCCCCACACCTCCATACACTACCCACACTCTCCATACACTACCCACACTCTCCATCACTACCCACAATTCCATATACTACCCACATCTCCATAAAACTACCCGCACTCTCCATACCTACCCACACACTCCCATACACTACCTGCACTCTCCATACACTACCACACACTCCATCACTCCATACATACCCGCACTCTCCATACACTACCACACTCTCCGTACACTACCCGCACTCTCCATACACCATCCGCACTCTCGATGCACTACCCCACTCTCCATACACTACACACTCTCCATCCCCTACCAACACTTCCATGCTCAAACCCACAACTCCATACACTACCCGCACTCCCCATACATACCCGCTCTCTCCATACATTTACCCACACTCCCCATACACTACCCACACTCTCCATAACTTCCCACACTCCATACCCTACCCACACTCTCCATACACAACCCACACTCTCCATACACTACCCACACTCCATAAAATACCCCCCACTCTCCATAAAACCTACCCGCACTCTATATCCTACTAGCACTTCCATATACCAACACTCTCCATACCCTACCCACACTCCATACACTACACACCTCCACACACTACCCGCACCCCCCATACACTACCAAAATCTCCAAACACTACCCACACTCTCCATACACTACACCCCACTCTCCATACCCTCCCCACACTCTCCATACACTACCCACATTTCTCCATTCCCCTTTACCCAAAATCTCCAAAAACACTACCCGCACTCTCCATACACTACCCGCCTCTCCATACCCTCCCCACAATCTCCAAAACACTACCCGCACTCTCATACACTACCCGCATTTCCCCATACCCTACTCACACTCTCCATCCCCTACGTACACTCCCCAAATCACTACCCACACTCTCCATACCCTCCCCGCACTCTCCATACACTACCTGTACTCCCCATACATACCACATCTCCATACAAAAAACCCACTCTCCATACACTACCCACACTCCATACACTACCCGCATCTCCATACACTACCGCACTCTATATCCTACTGCACTCTCCATCCCCTTACCCACACTCTCCATACACTACCACACACTCCACACGTACCCGCACTCCCCATACAAAACCCCCAACCTCTCCAAACACTACCCACACTCTCCATACACTACACGCACCTCTTACCCTACCCACACTCTCATACACTACCCACACTCTCCATACACTAGCCACACTCTCCTTCCACTACCCACCTCCATACCCTACCCACAATCTCCAGTACATACCCGCACTCCCCATACACTACCCGCATCTCCATACCCTACTCACACTCTCCTACCCTACCACACACTCTCCATACCACTACCCACACTCTCCATACAGTACCCACACTCTCCATACAATACCCACATTCCCGCAATCTCCAAATACTACCCACATCCCCATACACTACCCACACACTCTCCATTACACTGCCTGCACTCTCCATACAGCCCACACACTCTCCATACACTACCCACAACTCTCCATACATTTACCCACACTCTCCATACACAACCCACACTCTCCATACACTACCCACACTCCATACACTACCCGCATCTCCATACACTTACCCGCACTCTATATCCTACTGGCACTCTCCATCCCCTACCCACATTTCTCCATACACCTACACACACACTCCACACGCTTAACCGCACTCCCCATAACATAACCACACTCTCCAAACACTACCCACCCCTCTCATACACTACACGCACTCTCCATACCCTACCCACACTCTCCTTTACACTACCACACTCTCCATACACTAGCCACACTCTCCATCCACTACCACACTCCATACCTACCCACAATCTCCATACACTCCCCGCACTCTCCATACACTACCCGCACTCTCCTTTACCCTACTCACACTCTCCCATACCCTACCCACACTCTCCTTTACACTCCCCACACTCTCCATACCAGTACCCACACTCTCCATACACTACCCAACTTCCCGCAATTCCATATACTCCCCACATCCCATACACTACCCACACACTCTCCATCCCACTGCCTGCACTCTCCATACACTACCCACACATCTCCATACACTGCCTGCACTCTCCATACACTGCCCACACACTCTCCGTACACTACCACACTCTCCATACACTACCCACACTCTCCATACACTACCGCACTCCCATACACCACCCGCACTCTCCATGCACTACCCACTCTCTCCATACACTATCTGCCCTCTCCAAAACCCTACCCGCAATCTCATACACTACCCGCACTCTCCATACACTACCCACACTTCCCAACCCTACCCACACTCTCCATCCCCCATCCACATTTTTCCCTACATACCCGCATCCCCATACACTACCCACTCTTCATACCACTCCCCACACTCTCCAAAACACTACCCAACTCTCCATACACTACCTGCACCCTCCATACACTACCCACACTTCCCATCCCACTACCCACACTCTCCATACATACCCGCCTTCCATACACTACCCACAGTCTCCAACACTACCTGCACTTTTCCTTTACACTACCCACTTTTTCCATACATACCCCACTCTCCATACACTCCCCACACTCTCCATAACACCCACACTCCCCAAATACACTCCCCACATTTCCCATACACTACCCGCACTCCCATACACTACCCGCACTCCCCATACACTACCCACACTCTCCATACACTACCCACACTCTCCATACACTACTCACACTCCCCATACCAAAACCACTCTCCATACACTCCCACACACTCCTACACTACCACATACTCCATACACTACCTACCCATCCATACACTACTCACACCCCATACCTACCCACACTCTCCTACACTACCACACACTCCTTACACTCCCCACACACTCCATACACTACCCACACTCTTCAAAACCCTACTCACACTCTTCAAAACGCTACCCAAAACATTTCCATACACTACCCATTCTCCATACACTGCCCACACCCCCATTCGAGGTCAACAAAGAGGGCTGGGGTCGACGGCGCAGTGTTACCTTCTCAACATGTAAGTCTGTTACTTTACACATATGCTGCTATGTATGATAATCTATGTAACTGTATTTGTGTATACCTGAATAAACTTACTTATACCATAAACAGATAATGATATGTTAGGACTGGAGATACGGTGTTTACTCTGAGCATCATGTGCATAAGATAAGATTTCGTTCGGATTTTTAACCCCGGAGGGTTAGCCACCCAGGATAACCCAAGAAAGTCAGTGCATCATCGAGGACTGTCTAACTTATTTCCATTGTGGTCCTTAATCTTGTCCCCCAGGATGCCACCCACACCAGTCGACTAACACCCAGGTACCTGTTTGCTGCTAGGTGAACAGGACAACAGGTGTAAGGAAATGTGTCGAAATGTTTTCACCCGCCGGGAGTCGAACCCGGACCCTCCGTGTGTGATGCGGGAGCTTTAGCCACCAGGCCACCGGGCCAGTTTAGTTTAAGTTTTATATTTTATTTCTTTGCAGCTAGGAGCATTCGTTATGTTGTATCTGAATAATGGATCATCAGTAAACACCCGAATGTCTCTTTGGCCATGTTCGTAGATCTTACACAAGATAAGAAGGTTGTGTTGTAGCCTTGCTTAGGCATACCCGGTGGTGATGGCTGTTGCGTTGAGCTGCAAGGCTGCAGGTTGCACAGAGGTAAAGACGGCAGATAACATGCCGATATGCATTGCACTGATGCAACTACATCAGAAAAGTGTGCATGATACTAGGGACACCCGACAGGAACCTCCCAAAATCAACCGTTCAACTCTACAGCAAGGCATCGGTGAAGATGATTGGGCTGCTTTTACCAGCCGATGGGACATGTTTAGAAATAGGACCGACCTAACTGAAAGTCAAGTAATTGCTCAGCTCCTGGCCTGCTTTGAGCTGGATTTAGAAGCCGTGTTGTTCAGGGAAACTCCCACACTAGCCTCCAGAGCAGTATTTTTATTTTAAATTTGTAACCAACGAACGAGCGGTATTGAATTAATAACACTGTGACTAGCCGAGGATTCGAACCCATGTCGTTTTGACCCACCTCATGGTGAGCAAATATCACGCATGACGCTTTAACCCTCAGGCCCAAACGCAATCTACAAGAATCACGCACGCAGCAGAGCTAATGTTCCTCGGATAACGGTAAAACACCTAGCTCTGCTGGGTGCGTGATATCTCAGTAACCAGGCTTTAAATTCCATTAACCACCCATCGTGCTACATTGTGTTTAAGGGGGTTTATTCAACAAAAGTCCCCTTTTTAAGCACTTTATGTTTAAGTTACGGGACTTTAAAGAGGGTCATTAAGGTTGATAATTAAGATAGTTTTGCAGAGTTTGGGTATTGTTAATCTGGAAATTTTTGTCAGCTAGCGGCTTTCTCAGTACAATGCCGAGAACGGTGGAAGATGAGGAGGTGTTGAGGTAATCGGTCCTGAGCGTGGAGTCGATGTGTTCACGGTATCAATCTTGATATAAGTTCAGCATACTACGGAGAGATGGATGTAGCAGTGGTAGGCGGAAAATCACCAGCGAAAAGAACCCACTAGTGGAAGTACGTCGGGCCTAAAGGGGTTAGATAGGCCTTGAAGACGTCACTCTCTCGCAAGTTGTTGTTGTGTCTGACAGAATTAGGGTTGTCTGGTACTTGTACACTACCAGTCAAGAATACTTTAATACCATAAATTGGGATTTAAATAAATTATCGGTGTATAAGCACTGTGAGATTTTATTTCTTATTTTTTATATCATGATAATCTCTTACATGTACTACGGTATACCCGCAGCCCGGTCCGTGACCAGGCCTCGTGGTGGATCAGAGCCTGATCAACCAGGCTGTCACTGCTGGCCGCACGTAAACCGACATATGAACCACAGCCCGGCTGATCATGTAATAAGATTTTTTCACATATCTTTCACAAACTTACATTTCTACAATTGATTTACACATCAACAAAACGTTAAATTACCCCTTAAAACCCAGTCAAGTTCAAGTGACGTATTTGTAATGGGATCCTTGCAATATTATTGCAAGACTTAGATCAAGATTCCCCAATCTTGCTTGATAAGATCAGCAGCTCTCTCACCAATCATGATAGTTGGGGCATTCAGGTTGCCCGTCACGATCTGGGGCATGATAGAAGCATCGACTACCCGTACCCCTCTCACGCCTCGTAACCTGAAAGGGGAATTGAATTTGAAAAAAACTTATGTTACACAAATAAGATGATAAAGTGCAGAGATTTTTCTAGTGTGTTAGTGTTAGAACGATTACCTATATACCTGGAGAGAGTTCTGGGGGTCAACGCCCCACAGCCTCATGGTGGGCCAGGGCCTGATCAACCAGGTAGTTACTGCTAGCCGCACGCAGTCCAACATGCGAACTACAGCCCGGTTGGTCAGGTACTAACTTTAGGTGCTTGTCCAGTGCCTGCTTGAAGACAGTCAGGGGTCTATTGGTAATCCCCTTTATGTATGCTGGAAGGCAGTTGAACTATTTTGGGCCCCTGACACTTACTGTGTTGTCTCTTAACGTGCTAGTGACACCCCTGCTTTTCATTGGGGGGATGTTGCATCGTCTGCAGAGTCTTCATAGCCTTCATAGGGAGTGATTTTCGTGTGCAAGTTTGGTACTAGTCCCTCTAGGATTTTCCAGGTGTATATAATCATGTATCTCTTCCGCCTGCGTTCCAGGGAATACAGGTTCAGGAACCTCAAGCGCTCCCAGTAATTGAGGTGTTTTATCTCCATTATGCGCGCCGTGAAGGTTCTCTGTACATTTTCTAGGTCAGCAATTTCACCTGCCTTGAAAGGTGCTGTTAGTGTGCAGCAATATTCCAGCCTAGATAGAACAAACGACCTGAAGAGTGTCATCATGGGCTTAGCTGGAAGATTTTCCAGACAGTGGTCAGTTTTCAAAAGCTGTTCCTGGAATTGCTGGGACGTTGCATCTGGAAACTTGTATACAACCCAATGACCAGGTTTTGGTTCTCGATCTTTACTGCTAAAACTTCAACTACATCATTTGAGGCATTTAGTAGTCCTGAGCATATAAGTGACTGTGATATATGGAGAAGATGTCTTGATGCTGGTGAAGGGTTCTTGTTTTGCGGCATTAGAGCTACACCCCCTTGGATCAAATCTTATTGCTTTACATATTCCAGGCGCTATATGGCCCCCTGGGAGTTAAGTGCTCTCAAATGAATAATAATAAGTACAGTTCAAACTGAGACAATTTAAATAATAATTATCCTAATTCAAATCAAATTTATCATTCTGTATCTCCTTATGTTCAGCTATCAAAACTTTGGGGCCCCGTCCCTGGGCCCATCAAGTACCTCTGTAGCCTTCTGGACTACCCCCCAGGGGATGGGTATGAGGGTGCATAATAAAGATACTAAGCTAAATTAAACTAGATATATATTGCACCCCTGAATGATGTCTAATGTTTATAATGTATATTTGATGTATATTCTTTCATATAATTTTATATTGCTAATATTTTCATTAATAGCTAAGATAAAAATATCTTATTGTATACTATTATTTGACCTAGCTATGTCATTAGGTAGGATATAACATTTACACTTCCCTGTGCTTACTGTTCGAGAGTTGTTGTTGGCTGTCCATATTGCTAAACTGCTTAGCTATCACCTCGCTTGTTTACCTACCGGTGTTTCTGCAGCACCAGGGGCGAGTCACGTGATATCAATTGATGTGAGGCCTGTAGTCGAGAAATCAATCTCTCTCTCTCTCTCTCTCTCTCTCCACAGCTGGTCATCACTCGACCACCAGCATCTCTCTCCATTTCTCCAGGGATCTCTCTCGTCTCTGGTTGTTCATTATTTAGACTGTTTTGGTAGAGTATCGTTTCGCTGGTGAGTCGAAACATACTTCTTGTAACTCTGTGTACCTCTGATCACAGAACTTTGTTCAGACTTGGTGATTGTTGATGTTTTGCTGAGGTTGTGTGTCATAATGACACTAAGTCAATTACTGAGACATAACGAGCACTTTGAGCACACACGCATATACTATAAGTTTTATACTTGATAGTAACGTACCAGACCGTACTTAAGAGTCGTACTGCTATGAAATGTGCCTTATTATTATTATTATTATTATTATTATTAAAGATTAGCCGGTATTCTCCCGGCCCGGGCTTTTTCCAAGTGGTGGCCCGGCTTTGGCTCCCTCTTTAGGGAGTGTCTGAGACCTAAGTCTCCCATGGGAGGAGGCACAAGTACCTCCTCATCTTTGGGACCAACTGTCCCCAGGCCTAGCCACAAGCTAGGCCTCTCTGGTCTGCCATCCCCGCCCCAAGGGGGCAAATGGGAATGACAGTCTTATGAGCTAAAGGCTCGGGCTCAGGCACCTACCCTACCCTAGAAGGGTTAGGCATGGTGCCGATCAAAAAATGTGCCTTCAGAACTATGCTACTATATGTACAACTTAACATTACACTACAAGAGAAGTGTAGGAGCTTATATCCTAATCTATATCAAAATTCATTTACTTTGATTTTGTCCACCTAGACAACTTTGTTAATAAACATCTCAATTTCTATTTAGTTAGTATCGTATCAATTGCAATCCTAAATCACTATTAAAATTTATCACAATTTTAAAGGATAACTGAACTAGAATATTTTCTGCTTGTTACAAAAACCAGAAACATGTTGAATGCTGGAGGGAAAGACCTGGTATTCTCTGGAGATGTCTATACTTTATAGATATCTCCATTTTGTAACATCCCAGTCGTCTTTTAAATCGCTGGTTAAGTTGTAAGACGAGAGTCATACACTTGTACCTAACAAGAGTTCAATCATTACAGGGGCTTTCTATATAGTATGTCATTGATGTCAGCTATGGTCTGTATAAGTTGTATAGTATGTCACTGATGTGAGCTATTGCCTGTACAAGTTGTATTATGTACTTGTAGGAACAAAGATTATTATTCCACTTACTTGAGAGTATGGTCCACAACGCCCAGAGGGTCAGAAGACGGGGCCATCTTACAGGTACCAGCCGGGTGATACATAGTTTTGGCTGTGTGCCGTGTATAACATGCCCAGTAGCTGTCAGATCCATACACCTCTCTCTCACATCCTGGCAACACCTACACATATAACTCGTAAGTGGTAAACTGATTATATAAAGCCACTTTACCTGACATTATGAAACTTGCAAGATATTGTAGTAGTATAAATTACCTTAAAGACATATTTTTATGTTAATGTAAAAATTAATAATTTTGTACCAAAAGAACCTTAGAAAACTTACCTAACCTTATTATAACAAGCACAATTTAATTTAGCGTAATCCAATTAAATATATTTTAGACAAGTTTACAATAATTTAATAATAAACACAATGAAATATATTTTTTTCGTTAGGTTCAGAATGATTTTTCCGAAATTGCATACACAAATTTTCGTTTGCCTTATTCGGCAAGAAGGGCATGGCTAAGCCAAAATCGCAAGCTTTACCTATTCGGCACTATAATATATATATATATAAATATATATATATATATATATAAAAATTATAGGTAGTAGGTTGGTAGACAGCAACCACCCAGGGAGGTACTACCGTCCTGCCAAGTGAGTGTAAAACGAAAGCCCGTAAATTGTTTTACATGATGGTAGGATTGCTGGTATCCTTTTTTGTGTCTCATGAACATGCAAGATTTCAGGTACGTCTTGCTACTTCTACTTACACTTAGGTCACACTACACATACATGTACAAGCACATATATGCACCCCCCCCTCTGGGTTTTCTTCTGTTTTCTTTCTAGTTCTTTTTCTTGTTTAATTTTCCCCTTACTCCATGGGGGAAGTGGAACAGAATTCTTCCTCCATAAGCCATGCGGGTTTGTAAGAGGCGACTAAAATGCCGGGAGCAAGGGGCTAGTAACCCTTCTCCTGTATATATTACTAATGTAAAAGGAGAAACTTTCGTTTTTCCTTTTGGGCCACCCCGCCTCGGGGGGATACGGCCGGTGTGTTGAAAAAAAGAAAGAAAGATATATATATAATTTATATATATAAATATTATATATATAATATATAAATATATATATATATATAATATATATAATAAATTATATATAATATTATATATATTTTATATATATATATATATATAATATATATAAATATATATATAATATATATATAATATATATATATAATATATATATATATATATTGCTGGGTTTCTTTTTCTGTCTCATAAACACACTAAGATAACAGGGATATCTTGCTACTCCTACTTACACTTGGTCACACTTCACAGACACGCACATGCATATATATATAACATACATCTAGGTTTTTCTCCTTTTTCTAAATAGCTCTTGTTCTTTTTTATTTCTTCTATTGTCCATGGGGAAGTGGAAAAGAATCTTTCCTCCGTAAGCCATGCGTGTCGTATGAGGCGACTAAAATGCCGGAGCAATGGCTAGTAACCCCTTCTCCTGTATACAATTACTAAAAAAGAGAAGAAGAAAAACTTTATAAAACTGGGTTGCTTAAATGTGCGTGGATGTAGTGCGGATGACAAGAAACAGATGATTGCTGATGTTATGAATGAAAAGAAGTTGGATGTCCTGGCCCTAAGCGAAACAAAGCTGAAGGGGGTAGGAGAGTTTTCAGTGGGGGGAAATAAATGGATTAAATCTGGAGTATCTGAGAGAGTTAGAGCAAAGGAAGGGGTAGCAGTAATGTTAAATGATCAGTTATGGAAGGAGAAAAGAGAATATGAATGTGTAAATTCAAGAATTATGTGGATTAAAGTAAAGGTTGGATGCGAGAAGTGGTCATAATAAGCGTGTATGCACCTGGAGAAGAGAGGAATGCAGAGGAGAGAGAGAGAATTTTGGGAGATGTTAAGTGAATGTATAGGACCTTTGAACCAAGTGAGAGAGTAATTGTGGTAGGGGACTTGAATGCTAAAGTAGGAGAAACTTTTAGAGAGGGTGTGGTAGGTAAGTTTGGGGTGCCAGGTGTAAATGATAATGGGAGCCCTTTGATTGAACTTTGTATAGAAAGGGGTTTAGTTATAGGTAATACATATTTAAGAAAAAGAGGATAAATAAGTATACACGATATGATGTAGGGCGAAATGACAGTAGTTTTTGGATTAGTATTGGTAGATAAAAGACTGTTGAGTAGACTTCAGGATGTACATGTTTATAGAGGGGCCACAGATATATCAGATCACTTTCTAGTTGTAGCTACACTGAGAGTAAAAGGTAGATGGGATACAAGGAGAATAGAAGCATCAGGGAAGAGAGAGGTGAAGGTTTATAAACTAAAAGAGGAGGCAGTTAGGGTAAGATATAAACAGCTATTGGAGGATAGATGGGCTAATGAGAGCATAGGCAATGGGGTCGAAGAGGTATGGGGTAGGTTTAAAATGTAGTGTTAGAGTGTTCAGCAGAAGTTTGTGGTTACAGGAAAGTGGGTGCAGGAGGGAAGAGGAGCGATTGGTGGAATGATGATGTAAAGAGAGTAGTAAGGGAGAAAAAGTTAGCATATGAGAAGTTTTTACAAAGTAGAAGTGATGCAAGGAGGGAAGAGTATATGGAGAAAAAGAGAGAAGTTAAGAGAGTGGTGAAGCAATGTAAAAAGAGAGCAAATGAGAGAGTGGGTGAGATGTTATCAACAAATTTTGTTGAAAATAAGAAAAAGTTTGGAGTGAGATTAACAAGTTAAGAAAGCCTAGAGAACAAATGGATTTGTCAGTTAAAAATAGGAGAGGAGAGTTATTAAATGGAGAGTTAGAGGTATTGGGAAGATGGAAGGAATATTTTGAGGAATTGTTAAATGTTGATGAAGATAGGGAAGCTGTGATTTCGTGTATAGGGCAAGGAGGAATAACATCTTGTAGGAGTGAGGAAGAGCCAGTTGTGAGTGTGGGGGAAGTTCGTGAGGCAGTAGGTAAAATGAAAGGGGGTAAGGCAGCCGGGATTGATGGGATAAAGATAGAAATGTTTAAAAGCAGGTGGGGATAAGTTTTGGAGTGGTTGGTGCAATTATTTAATAAATGTATGGAAGAGGGTAAGGTACCTAGGGATTGGCAGAGAGCATGCATAGTTCCTTTGTATAAAGGCAAAGGGGATAAAAGAGAGTGCAAAAATTATAGGGGGATAAGTCTGTTGAGTGTACCTGGTAAAGTGTATGGTAGAGTTATAATTGAAAGAATTAAGAGTAAGACGGAGAATAGGATAGCAGATGAACAAGGAGGCTTTAGGAAAGGTAGGGGGTGTGTGGACCAGGTGTTTACAGTGAAACATATAAGTGAACAGTATTTAGATAAGGCTAAAGAGGTCTTTGTGGCATTTATGGATTTGGAAAAGGCGTATGACAGGGTGGATAGGGGGCAATGGGCAGATGTTGCAAGTGTATGGTGTAGGAGGTAGGTTACTGAAAGCAGTGAAGAGTTTTACGAGGATAGTGAGGCTCAAGTTAGAGTATGTAGGAAAGAGGGAAATTTTTTCCCAGTAAAAGTAGGCCTTAGACAAGGATGTGTGATGTCACCGTGGTTTGTTTAATATATTTATAGATGGGGTTGTAAGAGAAGTAAATGCGAGGGTCTTGGCAAGAGGCGTGGAGTTAAAAGATAAAGAATCACACACAAAGTGGGAGTTGTCACAGCTGCTCTTTGCTGATGACACTGTGCTCTTGGGAGATTCTGAAGAGAAGTTGCAGAGATTGGTGGATGAATTTGGTAGGGTGTGCAAAAGAAGAAAATTAAAGGTGAATACAGGAAAGAGTAAGGTTATGAGGATAACAAAAAGATTAGGTGATGAAAGATTGAATATCAGATTGGAGGGAGAGAGTATGGAGGAGGTGAACGTATCAGATATTTGGGAGTGGACGTGTCAGCGGATGGGTCTATGAAAGATGAGGTGAATCATAGAATTGATGAGGGAAAAAGAGTGAGTGGTGCACTTAGGAGTCTGTGGAGACAAAGAACTTTGTCCTTGGAGGCAAAGAGGGGAATGTATGAGAGTAAGTTTTACCAACGCTCTTATATGGGTGTGAAGCGTGGGTGATGAATGTTGCAGCGAGGAGAAGGCTGGAGGCAGTGGAGATGTCATGTCTGAGGGCAATGTGTGGTGTGAATATAATGCAGAGAATTCGTAGTTTGGAAGTTAGAGGAGGTGCGGGATTACCAAAACTGTTGTCCAGAGGGCTGAGGAAGGGTGTTGAGGTGGTTCGGACATGTAGAGAGAATGGAGCGAAACAGAATGACTTCAAGAGTGTATCAGTCTGTAGTGGAAGGAAGGCGGGGTAGGGGTCGGCCTAGGAAGGGTGGAGGGAGGGGGTAAAGGAGGTTTTGTGTGCGAGGGGCTTGGACTTCCAGCAGGCATGCGTGAGCGTGTTTGATAGGAGTGAATGGAGACAAATGGTTTTTAATACTTGACGTGCTGTTGGAGTGTGAGCAAAGTAACATTTATGAAGGGATTCAGGGAAACCGGCAGGCCGGACTTGAGTCCTGGAGATGGGAAGTACAGTGCCTGCACTCTGAAGGAGGGGTGTTAATGTTGCAGTTTAAAAACTGTAGTGTAAAGCACCCTTCTGGCAAGACAGTGATGGAGTGAATGATGGTGAAAGTTTTTCTTTTTCGGGCCACCCTGCCTTGGTGGGAATCGGCCGGTGTGATAATAAAAAAAAAAATAATATATATATATATATATATATATATATATATATATATATATATATATATATATGCAAACAATCGCAGACAGGCGATCTTAACTATGCAAGACAAGCCACAGGAGGGTGGAAATCTTTAGTTGAAGTACTTTCACACTTCTCAGTGCATCATCAGGAGCTATGCAATGTTGCAAGGCTGCAACTGAAGGAGGGGAAGTTTTTCTCAGAATAGTGCAGAATGGGCCTGTCGCCTCCTTCTGGCTCTCTTAGACAGTGGCCAGCGGTCGGCGTCACACCCACCATTGCCATCATCCCCCCATATGGGGTAAGAGGGTTTTGAGAAGTCAAGGATTTTGAAATTAGAAGATATAAAAGTCTGCCCCAAGCTTTTTCTAACCGTTTAGAACAGGTCCTGTGACTTGAGAATATACGTTTCTCAGTGGATATTATATATATGGATTGCTATTATTCTGTGTAGCCCATTTAATTAATATAAGGAGGAAAATGAATGCACTCTTTGTCTGTTTAAATGTTCTGTTCCTGAATGTTCTCAGGGGTACTGAGACATATCCTTTATATTGTCTACTATTCTGGGATTCTTCTATACCATTCTTATAACATTTCTAAGAGCCAGATTTCTACATCTAATATCCTTTAACCCACTACCTATGTAATCAGGTAATCTTGTCAATGTGTAGTGCAATCACTGCTAAACGTGTTATATAAGCATACATTAACTGGCGTAGCATGGTGTTTTGGTGTGTAGACAACTGGTCGAGCGTCACCAATCCATCATGTGACCACCTGGCATAATGAGCAATTATGTTTTGGTAGAGTATTGTTTCGCTGGTGAGTCGAAACATACTTCTTGTAACTCTGTGTACCTCTGATCACAGAGCTTTGTTCAGACTTGGTGATTGTTGATGTTTTGCTGAGGCTGTATAACCCATAATTTGAGTTATATACGGTATTCCTGTCATGTTTCAAGAGAGAAGATTCAATTATGTTTCATTCTGTGACAGAACTGTTTGATACAATAATTCGGGCAGCATCCCATCCCGGGGGGTGATTACAGGAGCTAACGTAGTTAAAGATAGCGCTCGACTCCTGCCCTCTCCTGACTGAGCATTATGTTGGGCTATTCTGGTTTCTAGAATTTTGCCTGTTTGACCTATATATGAGAGAGGACACTGAGTACATGGAACCTTGTAAACCCCACCAACTTTGTTAGAGGGTGTGTTTTTAAACAGCCTTTGTTTCACTGTCCCAGTGTTTTTTGAAAGCAAGGTTTATATTGATCTTTTTTAATGCCTTACGCATGCAGACCAGATTCTCATTGTATGGTAAAACTAGTACATTTCTCCTGGCCATCATTTCCTTAGGTTAATTCCTGTAGAAAGTCTTTCTTGCTGACATTAGTGCCTTCTCGACAAAATCCCTAGAGTATCTCAGTTTTGTGGCTATGTTAAGATATCCTAGGGATTTTGTCGAGAATAAGTAAGTTCATTCGGGTATACACAAATACAATTACATAGACTGTCATACATAGCATGTGTGTAGAGGATTGAAGTAAACTCTCAGAACATATACACTGAGAGACATATACATCTCGGTGTATATATCACGTGACAAATGTCAGTGTGACTCGATGATAATTAAGCCAACAGATCATACAAATGTACAAGTATTTAGGATTATACGAAACTATTTCAAATTTTACAAAGGCTCAGCTTTACAGGATACAGGAGCCCTCCTGTATCCACGGGGGATACGTATTAAAGAGCTGCCGTGGATACCGGAACCGCGGATACTAGCAAACCCTATATATAAGTCCTATACATACCTAACATAAAGATTAATTGATAATTTATGCACAATAAATAGAGAATTGTTACTTTTCACTGATGGGAAGTACTTCAAGCTTGTCTTAGGCTTTGAACAACTTCCAGCTTCTCTACTTTTGCTCTTTGGGGCCGTTATGAATTAAGAGGTACTGTTAGGGCCACTGTAAACAGTGGATAACTGAAACAGCGGATACCGAGTCAGCGAATACCGAATCAGCGGATGATACATGAGTCAGCGGATACCGAAGGGTTCGAGTCACATAAACACATACCATTACAGGAACAATAGGCTACGATGGTCAATCCAGAGCTGGTTGAATACCGATCCCCAGAGATACAAGTTTACTATAACTCCTTGACATAATTTTTTAGACTGTTTATTACATCATATATAATTATACTTGGAAAACTGCATTAAATATTATTACTGCAAATAAAATTATTTTAAAATTATTTTCTAAAGATTAAGATATAATGTGATTTTTTTATGAATTTGATTTTACTATTTACTAATGTTTTAGACAAATTTATTATTAATAATCTTAAATTTTTAATGGGTAGAGTGGAAAGCCAGTGGAAGGTCTTGGTCAGATGACAAAAACTGCAGTGACTGGTCATCATATGACTAAGACCAGCGTCCGGGGACACTTGTCCTGTTTCAAGTCGAATTTTACCTAATATAACCTTGTTCTTTACTCATTTTATATTGATTAAAAATACGTAATGAAGAGATATATTATGAATGACTAATTTAATAATAATTTAATAATAATCGTAAGAAAATATTAAGATACAGTAACTTAGGGCTTCAATAACAACGCCTGTACTTGCTGAATAAATTTTTTTTTATGGAATCATGTCCAGTATCTTCTCCCGCACACATCCAGTACTCTGTTTTTCCAACGTTAAAGTGCTTTTTAAAAGTACTCGTCACAGACTGGTCACAGACCGGGCTGTGGGGGCGTTGACCCCCAAAAACCTCTCCAGGTATACACCCAGTACTATAGTGGAGGATTAAGTCTGAATGTCCCTGAGGTACAACTCACGTAGCTTCTGCCTCTCCAGGGGAACTAGTCTGTGTTCAACAGGTAGTCTGACTTCTGAAGTGTTAAGAGATGGTTGGACCATAAAAGGGACCTTTTCAAACATCTTTTGAAACTCATGCTCTTTCTTTGGATGTTCCAACACGTTGTTTTCATCAGTCACAGAACGGGTGGGATTCGAACCCATGGCAAGAGTCCCATCCGTTCCTTTGTTTGGTTACGATTTCGTGAGTAAGTTTATTGTGTAGGTGGGCTTGAACTAGATCTGCCCAGTAAGGGCCAATAGGCCTAGTGCAGGGTTACACTCTTGTGTCCATGTTCACTCGTTCTTCACTAACACCGCCAAAGGGAAAGATACCAGCCACTGATTCTTCAGTGTGATAAGTGCGGAACTTCAGAACACTGCTGAAACTGCTTCTCAGAAGTCTTTCAGTTGTATAAGCACTTGACTTGCAGCACCTCCATATACAGCTGTTGTCCCTCTCCAGTCCGTGTTGGGGAAAACGGGTCGTCGAAAAATTAGGACCCGTGGCGGGACTTTATCCTGACGAGCAATGTAACAACATAAATCTTCTAAACACTATTACATGTATGTCTTTTGTCCCAGATCAAGTACTCTCATACTCTCATGTGCTCTCGTACTCTCATGTACTTACCACGTATAAAGGCAGCAACATCATCAGGGTGACTGAGGAAGTTGGGGTCAATGAGAGGGGACTCGTGAGGGTCGCCAGACCTCAGCCGTACAGTCCCTCGGCTCTTTTGTCGAGCCAACAGAGGTAAAATGTTGAACCCATCCTTCCCCTTTATAGGCCCAAAATACTGCTGGAAGAACTGCAAGATTGATCAGCAAGATAAGTATGATAAATGGTTGGATAAGATATGTATAACATCCGGTATCTTTACTGGAAAGATATTCAGCCTGAATGTCTTAAGTAAAGATACCCAGACGTTGCCACATGTGTCTTATTAGTCAAGATCAGAGTCTAATACCTAGAGGAGGTGAGTGTGGCATACAGACATGGAGGAAACTATACAGGAAGATGTTATGATCACGCCAGTGGCGTTCAGACATCTGGGATACAGGAGGACGCTATGATCAAGCCAGAGACATCATCTGCAATACAGGAGGATGTTATGATCATGCCAGTGGCATTCAGACATCATCTGGGATACAGGAACAGGATGAGGCTATGATCAAGCCAGAGACATCATCTGGAATACAGGAGGATGTTATGATCATGCCAGTGGCGTTCAGACATCATCTGGGATACAGGAACAGGATGAGGCTATGATCAAGCCAGAGACATCATCTGGAATACAGGAGAATGTTAAGATCACTCCAGTGGCGTTCAGACAACATCTGGGATACAGGAGAATGTTATGATCAAGCCAGTGGCGTTCAAACAACATCTGGGATACAGGAGAATGTTATGATCAAGCCAGTGGCGTTCAGACATCATCTGGGATATAGGAGAAAGTTATGATCAAGCCAGTGGCGTTTAGACAACATCTGGGATACAGGAGAATGTTATGATCACGCCAGTGACGTTCAGACAACATCTGGGATACAGGAGAATGTTATGATCACGCTAGTGACGTTCAGAAAACATCTGGGATACGGGAGAATGTTATGATCACGCCGAGGAAGTGGACGCGCAGGTCCCCGTCCAAATATCTTTCTCGAGGAGTTATAAAGATTCAATCGGGTTAAATACTCACCCATGAGAGGACAGTCCCATACAAATATTACATTTGCAAAAAAATGCATATCATAAATTGCTGAAGATAAGAAACAAAATGGGCTAATACTTCAAGGAATTAAACTTGTCCTCTCCTTCCTTGGATCAAACTTGATGGAATTACATTTCTCAGGAACTGAATCTGATCTCTATTGCTTTAGTGCTTCCTAACAACAACAATAATAATAATAATAATAATAATAATAATAATAATAATAATAAAAATTCCGCGTCATTACAATACTAATAATAAAGACTAATGAAATAAAGAGTGGTATACCTGGAGTATACCTGGAGTATACCTGAAGTATACCTGGAGTATACCTGGAGTATACCTAGAGTATACCTGGAGTATACCTGGAGTATACCTGGAGTATACCTGAAGTATACCTGGAGTATATCTGGAGTATACCTGGAGTATACCTGGAGTATACCTGGAGTATACCTGGAGTATACCTAGAGTATACCTGGAGTATACCTGGAGTATACCTGGAGTAAAACCTGGAGTATACCTGGAGTATACCTAGAGTATACCTGGAGTATACCTGGAGTATACTGGAGTATACCTGAAGTATACCTGGAGTATACCTGGAGTATACCTGAGTATCCTGGAGTATACCGGGAGTATACCTGGAGCATACCTAGAGTATACCAGGAGTATACCTGGAGTATACCTGGAGTCTACCTAGAGTATACCTGGAGTATACCTAGAGTATACCTGGAGTATACCTAGAGTATACCTGGAGTATACCTGGAGTATACCTGGAGTATACCTAGAGTATACCTGGAGTATACCTGGAGTATACCTGGGGAGGATTTCGGGAGTCTTGAAGACAGCCAGGAAGTCTTCAAGACAGTCAGGGAGTCTTGAAGACAGCCAGGGGGCCTTGAAGACAGCCAGGAAGTCTTCAAGACAGCCAGGAAGTCTTCAAAACAGTCAGGGAGTCTTGAAGACAGCCAGGGGGCCTTGAAGACAGCCAGGAAGTCTTCAAGACAGTCAGAGAGTCTTGAAGACAGCCAGGGGGCCTTGAAGACAGCCAGGGGGCCTTGAAGACAACCAGGAAGTCTTCAAGACAGTCAGGAAGTCTTCAAGACAGTCAGGGAGTCTTGAAGACAGCCAGGGGGCCTTGAAGACAGCCAGGGGGCCTTGAAGACAGCCAGGAAGTCTTCAAGACAGCCAGGAAGTCTTCAAGACAGTCACGGGGTCTTGAAGACAGCCAGGGGGCCTTAAAAGAAAAGCCAGGGGCCTTGAAGACACCCGGGGAAGTCTTCAAGACAGCCAGGAAGTCTTCAAGACAGTCAGGAAGTCTTCAAGACAGTCAGGGGGTCTTGAAGACAGCCAGGGGGCCTTGAAGACAGCCAGGGGGCCTTGAAGACAGCCAGGGGGTGTTGAAGACAGCCGGGAAGTCTTCAACAGCCAGGAAGTCTTCAAGACAGTCAGGAAGTCTTCAAGACAGCCAGGGGGCCTTGAAGACAGCCAGGGGGCCTTGAAGACAGCCAGGGGGCCTTGAAGACAGCCAGGGGGCCTTGAAGACAGCCAGGAAGTCTTCAAGACAGCAAGGAAGTCTTCAAGACAGTCAGGAAGTCTTCAAGGACAGTCAGGGAGTCTTGAAGACAGCAGGGGGCCTTGAAGACAGCCAGGGGGCCTTGAGATAGCCAGGAAGTCTTCAAGACAGCCAGGAAGTCTTCAAGACAGTCAGGAAGTCTTCAAGACAGTCAGGGGGTCTTGAAGACAGCCAGGGGGCCTTGAAGACAGCCAGGAAGTCTTCAAGACAGCCAGGAAGTCTTCAAGACAGTCAGGAAGTCTTCAAGACAGTCAGGGAGTCTTGAAGACAGCCAGGGGGCCTTGAAGACAGCCAGGGGGCCTTGAAGACAGCCAGGAAGTCTTCAAGACAGCCAGGAAGTTTTCAAGACAGTCAGGAAGTCTTCAAGACAGTCAGGGGGTCTTGAAGACAGCCAGAGGGCCTTGAAGACAGCCAGGGGGCCTTGAAGACAGCCAGGAAGTCTTCAAGACAGCCAGGAAGTCTTCAAGACAGTCAGGAAGTTTTCCCAAGACAGTCAGGGGGCCTTGAAGACAGCCAGGGGGTCTTGAAGACAGCCAGGGAGTCTTCAAGACAGCCAGGAAGTCTTCAAGACAGTCAGGAAGTCTTCAAGACAGTCAGGGGTCTTGAAGACAGCCAGAGGGCCTTAAAGGGACAGCCAGGGGGCCTTGAAGACAGCCAGGAAGTCTTCAAGACAGCCAGGAAGTCTTCAAGACAGTCAGGAAGTCTTCAAGACAGTCAGGAAGTCTTCAAGACAGTCAGGGGGTCTTGAAGACAGCCAGGGGGCCTTGAAGACAGCCAGGGGGCCTTGAAGACAGCCAGGGAGTCTTGAAAACAGCCAGGGGGACTTGAAAACAGCCAGGGGGACTTGAAGACAGCCAGGGGGTCTTGAAGACAGCCAGGGAGTCTTGAAGACAGCCAGGGGGCCTTGAAGACAGCCAGGGGGTCTTGAAGACAGCCAGGGAGTCTTGAAGACAGCCAGGGGGCCTTGAAGACAGCCAGGGAGTCTTGAAAACAGCCAGTGGGTCTTGAAGACAGCCAGGGGGCCTTGAAGACAGCCAGGGGGTCTTGAAGACAGCCAGGGAGTCTTGAAGACAGCCAGGGGGCCTTGAGACAGCCAGGAGTCTTGAAAACAGCCAGGGGGTCGTGAAGACAGCCAGGGGGTCTTGAAGACAGCCAGGGAGTCTTGAAGACAGCCATGGAGTCTTGAAGACAGCCAGGGAGTCTTGAAGACAGCCAGAGGGTCTTGAAGACAGCCAGGGGGTCTTGAAGACAGCCAGGAAGTCTTGAAGACAGCCAGGGGGTCTTGAAGACAGCCAGGAGGTCTTGAAGACAGCCAGGGAGTCTTGAAGACAACCAGGGGGCCTTGAAGACAGCCAGTGGGTCTTGAAGACAGCCAGGGGGTCTTGAAGACGGCCAGGGAGTCTTGAAAACACCCAGGGGGTCTTGAAGACAGCCAGGGGGTCTTGAAGACAGCCAGTGGGTCTTGAAAACAGCCAGGGGGTCTTGAAAACAGCCAGGGGGTCTTGAAAACAGCCAGGGGGTCTTGAAGACAGCCAGTGGGTCTTGAAGACAGCCAGGGGTCTTGAGAGCCAGGGGGTCTTGAAGACAGCTAGGGGGTCTTGAAGACCGCCAGAGAGTCTTGAAGACAACCAGGGGGTCTTGAAGACAGCCAGGGGGTCTTAAAGACAGTCTGTGGGTCTTGAAGAATGCCAGGGGGTCTTGATGACAGCCAGAGGGTCTTGAAGACAGGCAATGGGTCTTGAAGACAGTCATTGGGTCTTGATGACAGCCAGGGGGCCTTGAAGACAGCCAAGGGGTCTTGAAGACAGTCAGGGGGTCTTGAAGGCAGCCAGTGGGTCATGAAGACAGCCAGGGGGTCTTCAAAATAGCCAGTGGGTCTTGAAGACAGCCAGAGGGTCTTGAAGACAGCCAGGGGGTCTTGAAGACAGCCAGGGGGTCTTGAAGACAGCCAGGGGGTCTTGACAGCCAGGGGGTCTTGAAGACAGCCAGGGGGTCTTGAAGACAGCCAGTGGGTCTTGAAGACAGCCAGGGGGTCTTGAAGACAGCCAGGGAGTCTTGAAAACAGCCAGTGGGTCTTGAAGACAGCCAGGGGGTCTTGAAGACAGCCAGGGGGTCTTGAAGACAGCCAGTGGGTCTTGAAGACAGCCAGGGGGTCTTGAAGACAGCCAGGGGTCTTGAAGACAGCCAGGGGGTTTTGATGACAGTCAGGGGGTCTTAAAGACAGCCAGAGAGTCTTGAAGACAGCAAGGGGGTCTTGAAGACAGCCAGTGGGTCTTGAAGACAGCCATGGGGTCTTGAAGACAGTCTGTGGGTCTTGAAGAATGCCAGGGGGGTCTTGATGACAGCCAAGGGGTCTTGAAGACAGCCAATAGGTCTTGAAAATAGCCAGGGGGTCTTGAAGACAGCCAGTGGGTCTTGAAGACAGCCAGGGGGTCTTGAAGACAGCCAGGGAGTCTTGAAGACAGCCAGGGGTCTTGATGACAGTCAGGGGGTCTTAAAGACAGTCAGGGGGTCTTGACAGCCAGGG